AGTATTGATCAAGACAGATTCCTTCGTTCCTGGTTCATGCTCCTTGACTTTCTCCGGCCCAAGATGAATGTCTACGATGAGGAAGTTTTCTCTGTCTACCCTGGAAAGTCCAACAATCCAGGAGACATCATCAAAGGACGAACCTTTCGTCGCCTTAATGTCACTCGGAAGATTGTCGTCGGTGATGTACCAGACTTGATCAAGTCCGCCTTACATATGCAGACATTCGCCTTGGGACAACGTTGCATCCGCCAACGCCGAGGCAGTCCCATGGGCAGTCCTCTTTCTCCGGCCCTATGTCTCATGGTTGTATCCATCAGTGAACAGATTTGGCACCACACCTTCCATCAACTTCTCTCCAATCATCACCTGTTCATCAAACATGTCCGTTACGTTGACAATCGCCTCATTTTCGGTGACAAACGCCTTACCTCTTTCGAGCCATATGAAGTTTTATTGGACGACGGCTTCTACGGAAAGCCTATTATTCTCGAAACTGAGCCTGATCAAGAATTCCTTGGCTTTATGATCGAAACAAAACCACTTGAATTGATCTATCAGGGACCAACACAGGTGTCACAAGTCCTCTCACCATTTTCAGCTTCACCTCCTTCAGTCCTGCTCAGCGGCTTTCGGTCAAGATGTCACATCGTCATCAAAGGAGCTTTCCCATCTCAGCGTGTCCAACAAGGCTTGGCACAACTAATTCGTTTATACGTACGAGCTGGCTTTCCCAATGAGGAACTTGAGGCCATCTCAAATCAACTTTTGATTCAGCATCAGAACTCCAATTTGCAGGTCTCAAAAATTGCTCTTGCTGGTTTTGGCATGGGGTTCTCTTTTGTGTGCTTCCTTTGTTTTTCCTCTTTCCTCTTCATTGTTTCTTCCTGTCCCTTCTCTTGGTTGTTGTCTTTCTGTGGTCTCTTGTTTCCCTCCGTCAGCTCCCTGGCTCAAGCTTCGCTTTCCTTTTGCTCCACTTTCGTTTGATCGCTCATGGATCATGCTCAAGGACGAGCGTTCCATCATCATTTGGCTAGAGCTATCATGCATCTCAACTATCTGGCAGGTCTCTTGCCTTTCTTCGAGCCCTCCATCGAATATGATGAAGCGCCGCCTCCGACCAATTTCCGTCTTGATCATCCAAACACCAGCGGCCTGCACACTTTTGTACCTCGCCCGACATCCGAAGGTCCTCCGACCTTGGTATCACATGGAGGCATCCCTTCCCACATGGTCTTGAATCCAGAACCGTTCCTGCGACCGGCATCAACGAGCTCTCCACCAATCAATACATCTATTCTCACCACTGGTACACCTCGGCCTGCCAGTCTTATGACGGACCCTGGTCCAACTCCGACTCCTGGTTCCACAACAACAATTACCTTCCCTACGGCCCCTACACGCACCACCACACCTGTGCCAGTGCGATCAAAACAACGGTCATCATCTCTGGTGGACCCACAACCAAAAAAGAAACAGAAAGGGGAGTCAATTCCTGAACCTAGACTCGCCCACAATCTTGATGCTGTCCATTCGACATCGTTACCCACCGCAGACATGAATTCGGATGACTCCGATGGTGAAGCCGCGTCAAGAGAAGACATCAGCTACATTCATGGTGGGAAGGCTAGACCCAGAACACCGCCTCTGACCTTGACTCCAAATCCAAAAGCCCCGCCGTCTCCATTGATGCACATCACTCATGCTATTCCTGCTAATACACCTCCTGATCCGGCTCGTCCGTGGACCCACGCCGACGACCAAGAATTGATTGGCATGAAACAGGACACAAAGTCCAGACCTTCGTGGAAAACAATTGGAGCAAGACTCCATCGCGATCCTCAGCTCTGCAAGCTTCGCTGGGGACTTCTGAAACAGACATCAGAAGTGAATGACCCACCGGGTCCGGGCAATCCACCTCATGAATTGGAGGGTGATGACTGACTTTAGCATCAATTCCTGCGATGTCAAAAAAGGCGCCATTGCTGCCTTTTTGTTGCTGTTGTTGTTTTGCTTCGGGTTTCCCTTTCTTTTTGCTTTTCTCCATGTCCTTTTTTGAGGTCTCCCTTGTGGTCTGTCTTTCTTTTGCCTGGGATGAATGCTCTTACTTGGTATCTGTTCACCCACAGCAAGTATGGCTCATTCATATTATCGTCAACGAACAGCTCCCGAACGCTCTCGCTCTCGGGACGACAACATGTGGCAAAACCGTGGTACTCATCAACAGGACAGGCAACGAAATCCTCAACCTGAGGAACCTCCTCCTGCTCCTCAAGTTCGAAAGGTCTTGGTCATCGTTGACATTGAACAAGTCCGTCCGCTCATGAACAAAACCCATGATGACTCGATGGCCGCTACAACATGCGAAGTTCTCCCTCGCCTCACTCCGGTCGAAGAACGTGCATTGTTCACATTCAACATCCTGCTCAACACACACAGGTTGGAAACCTTCACGGTGTACAACCTGTTGTATTGCATCAGCCAGCACATTTGGTATACGTGGGATCGATTCTTATCTCCTTCAGCCATGGACATCAGATGGCAAGATGATACTGGAGATACGTTTGCTCTCCGCAACGAAGAATACCTCGTCACCTACCTGAACGCATACCGCTCTCACTGGACAGAGGGACAAGAACATAATGAGTTCTTTTCACATCACATTCATCCCTTTACGTCTCACATTCAGCCTTACATTATGGGCTTGAGCTGCCATGAGGCTCTTCCAAACCGCAACATGCTTCCTTAAGGTTAAAAAGTCTCTTACTTGTCGGGACATGGGACTCTCCCGCTTTCTTGTGTGGTTTGCTTTTGCTTCTTGTTGTTTTTACCTGCTAAATTCTTTAGCTCTCGGCTCCAGCTTTACCATGACCAGGCGTGATTCCTCATTTGCCGGTCTCACGCGTCCTTCTTCATCCATGAACAAGTCACGTCGTGTTTCATGGAGATCCCGCAGTCATGGCCAATCCAGTAGCACTGCTGCTCCTTCGGATCTAATGCAGCCACCCCGTGGCGACAATGATTCCCAAGCTGGAAGTTACCTCTCACCTCATGCATCAGGCGAGTACACAACCAACTATGGGTACTCTTCGGCAAATCTTGCCACACCCATACCATCTCCTGCCGATCATCAAGCTCCAATTCTACCTACTCCTACAGGAGAATCATATCCACTCCAGCAAGAGATGGAAGAAGTCCGACGTCAGCTCCATGCATACTATTTCGTGGAAGTCCAATCACCTCCAGAAGATGACGATCAACCGGCGCTTCGACGACTTATGGTGACGGAAGTGGATCGACGTGGCCGCCACCACAATAGACAGCCTGAATATTTTTTCAACGGCATCATCGGCCATGTTCGATTCGTGCCGGACAGAATGGCTGGATTGATTCATGGGATCAATCCTCCCAGCTCGCCAACTACTGGCGACGCTACTTTCAGATCCCCGAGATCTCTCCATATGGTAACTGGCGTCCCTATCAAGCTGACGGTCCAGAGAGCCCTACATCGGCACATGAATCCGTCATGGATGACACAGATTCTCTCATTGCCAATGCTGACATCAATCCACCTCCTGTCCAGATTCATCAACTGGCAACGTTCTTCTGGAACATCCTCAACAATGACAGGGAGGCCAACCTGGCCATACTCGAACGTCTGGAGGATCCTGAAGGAGATCTTTCCCGACACCCAGTTCAGATCTTCTCGGCGGCAGACTTGGCTCATCTTGCTAGCCACTTGGCGGAATCCACCAGGACCTTGTCTATCCAAGCACGACGCATGGAGGCCTTACCTGATGACAGCCTGTGAGTTTTAGGATTAATTCATTCGATGTTTCTTCCCTGTATTTTGAAGCCATTTCCGCTTCAGGGAACGGATAAGAGCTCCCAATGTGGATGAATTGAAAAAAGCCTCGCGGCAGCGAGGCGTGTGTGTGGACCATCTGAAAAGATGTAAAACTTCCTATAGCTTTAACTTGGTTCAATTTTACTTCGTACTTGCAGGGGGCACAGGTGTGACTCTGGTTCCTGTGCCAACGAAGACGGCCAGAAGTCACAGTGATATCAAAGGGAGACGTCCCTTTGACGTACCTGCTTCAAATTTCATTTTCGTGTCAATTTTCTGCTATGGGACGTGGCTAACCCAAGAACCACCAAGCCGTTTCTTTTGTCAACCATTTGCATTGTTCTATTTACTGCACTGTTGTCGCAAATTATTTTATTTTATTTTGGACTTCACTGCATCAGAACCTTCCTCAGAGCAAGGACGTAGAGAGTTTACTTCGCACTGAAATTCACGTTGGATCAACCAATTTTTCCTGGCAGTTTTTAAGGGATTGTTTTGTGCACGTGTGATGCACTCCACAACAAAATTCGCAATGTTGTTTCTGAGCAAGTGTGTGTGTGGATGGAGGAGGAGGAGGAGCGGGAGGAAGGAGCGGATACAGAACTAAAAACAAAAACCCCACACGTCAATGTGGGGAATAAAAAGTTGGTGAGTGCTGGCAAAATCTATATGTGACTATCGGCTTTATGTGGATAATCCAACCATCGTGGTGTACGAATTAACTGTTCACGATCCTGGCAAAATCACTTGCTAGAACCCACTAGGTCGAACACGAAAGGGTAAGAACATTAGGGTTGCTTGACATTGTGAGAGGCAGCAGTTTCTCGGTTCATTGCTTTCAGGAGCCAGTGTGATGGTTTGAACACATACGCGCTCCTCGAAAGTTTAGGTTCTCAGCCAAACTCAGATCAAGAGGAATTAGGTGGTGGTAGCTATCCAATATCACCCTGACGTTCTTAGATCATGTTGGTTTTGAAGGTGGCCTTTTCTCGCCATGGCTCGCCAGTGACACGGATGCATCACGATGAATATGCCTGAAATGGGGTTATACCAAATCAGCCAAAGTTAGACGATTCTACTATTGAACATTCATTGAACTCCATGGTATGGGGATCCCACTTTTAAGAACCACCCTTATCAATTGATCAGCCAGGCTTTGTGATCGATTGCCAGCAGAGGCAGACGGAGCTTGGGGGAGTGCAGTAGTTTACGAAGGACGCGGGAAGGTCTGAAAAGACGGGGGATAACGGCAAATTCCCAATCAAAACATTTGAGGGATGAGATCCGATGGTCAAACATACCCAACATCATGGATTCTGTATGTTTGTATGTGATTTGTTGATTTTGAAATCAGATGGTTTCTTGGTGAAGTCCTGATTCCTGCTAGGTGTCCCCCTTTTCTAAAATTGGTGGAAACTGAAAATCTGCTTGCTTGACTCCACGCTGCGGTTTTCCTGTGCGGTTGAAATCCTGGTGCTGTGCATCATTTTTTCGCGGAGATTGAATGACATGGGTATCCACCGCTATCCTCTTGGTAATGCATGGCGATCGCCAAAGGCTTCCCGGTTTCCCCAGCTCCAGGTGCTGCCAAAGCTCTTGAAGTTCCTGGACGTCCCGGCGACGGCGGCGCGAGGCTTCAACAGGTGCGTTCTACGCCTCGGCAGCGAAGTGCTGTGCTTTCGGTGCGACAGGACGATGCCGATGGAGTGGGGTCAGCGGAACTTGTGTGCTATACTAGATCCATAGCAGATTTTTGAAGCCGTTTCAAAGAGCAATAATAGGAATAACTAAAAAGTGCTGGCTTGCTGCCAAAAAATAGGGTTTGATCCTGCAAAAATGGTGGGTTTCAAATATGGGGTTGAAACAACAACGTTCATTGGGTTTATGGGTCAAAATTCCAGGCCTTGAAAATTCAATTTTGGAGTATATAACCTATTTTGACCCTGATCCATTTCACAACAGTTTACAATTGGGATATTACTGCATGAAGTTGCAAACATGGGGATTTCACAAAAATGCAACGTGTGGATAGTGGATAATTGACTTTGCCACTTGAGTTTGCGTTGAGTACTAAGACCACGCTGAAGCTTTGAGTCTCCTAAAATTCGGTTCCTCAATGTAAGTCACCGGAACCTTGACTTGCTTGAGTGGGATGATTTCTCCATATTTCTCCCATGTCCTATCTTAAAGGCCATGTCTTAACCCAAGACATAGCATGACATGGCCCATATAGCCCCAAAGTCTAGTCCAATGGGGATACATGAGCAGTGTTTAAAACCCGGTTGATGATTCGAGGGTTTTTTTTACCCAAAACGTTGGCTTAGACAACATAAAACATAAACAACCTGTATCATGGAAAGGCAGAGGGCTTGAACACTGTTCACATGGGGAACATATGGGGGAACATTTTTATGAAGTGTTGGCAGGATCCTTTCAGCAGGAAGTGCAAGCTGCCCATGTGAAGGCGCAACAATTCTGTTAGAAGTTACTCAAGAATGTCACGCTTACAAGTGAAGCCGGCAACGCAAAAGGTCGCCAGATAGGTAGCTGGGTAGGAATGATTTTTGGTCATATGGAATAATATGGATGCTTTTCACATTTTTATTTGATTTTTTTCCAATAGTATGGATGCACAACAAGATTATAATGCCCAACCATGGCTTGGAAATCTTAGAACCTCAAAACCAAATCTATTTTCCCGCGAGATGGTGAACTCGGTGAGGTTTCTCCAGGCGCTCAAAGCCACGCTGGCGGCATCCTGGTAACGCCAACCTGTTTCAAGATGCAGTGCGCAAAAAGGCTTTGATTTTTTGAATATTTTGAATATTTTGAAGATTTAAAGGGTGCAATCTAAAAATGAAGCCTTGGGATTTGTTTGAATCCAGTGTTCTGCACTTCAGAAGCTTTCCCCAAATAGACCCATCCTTCTATTGGGCTGAGGAAAGAGTTAACCCAAAAAATGAGAAACAAGGGCCCTGCCACCCCCTGACCCCAGGCAAAACGAATGCATCGACCGGGCAAAAAGATGAGCACCTGCAGCGGTCAAAATGGACCCCACTGGATGCTGAGCATCGGGAATTGGTTGAGCCACGAAGCATGAAATGGTTGGGATCTACCAGCCATTTTTTTCAGGTCGCCGAAGTGTCATCCCCTCCGGATGGAGGCGAGCTAGGGGAAACATATGGGAAAATACCTATCATCCATTGGAATGTTGGATATAATCTATTGGCATTTTGGGTATCCCATTTCAGACAAAGCGATATACATACATACATGCATGCATGCATGCATGCATGCATGCATCCATCCATCCATCCATCCATCCATCCATCCATTCATCCATGCACATACACATACACATACACATACACGTACATATACACACATACACATACACATACACATACACATGCACCTACACATACATATACACACATACACATACATACACATACATATACGTACATATACGTACATATACGTACATATACGTACATATATACTTACATATACATACATATACGTACATATACGTACATATACGTACATACGCATACATACACATACATACACATACATATACGTACATACACGTACATACACATAAATACACATACAGACACATACATACACATACCGACACATACACATACATACACATACATACACATACATACACATACATACACATACATACACATACATACACATACATACACATACATACACATACATACATTCATACACATACACATACAGACACATACAGACACATACATACACATACATACACATACATACACATACATACATTCATACACATACACATACAGACACATACATACACATACATACACATACAGACACATACAGACACATACAGACACATACAGAGACAGAGAGAGAGAGAGAGAGACAGAGCGACAGAGCGAAAGAGAGACAGGCAGACAGGCAGACAGGCAGACAGGCAGACAGGCAGACAGGCAGACAGGCAGACAGGCAGACAGGCAGACAGGCAGACAGGCAGCCAGACAGACAGGCAGGCAGGCAGCCAGACAGGCAGACAGGCAGACAGGCAGACAGGCAGACAGGCAGGCAGGCAGCCAGACAGACAGGCAGGCAGGCAGCCAGACAGACAGGCAGACAGGCAGACAGGCAGACAGGCAGACAGGCAGACAGGCAGGCAGGCAGGCAGCCAGACAGACAGGCAGGCAGCCAGACAGACAGGCAGACAGGCAGACAGGCAGACAGGCAGACAGGCAGACAGGCAGACAGGCAGACAGGCAGACAGGCAGACAGGCAGACAGGCCGACAGGCAGACAGGCAGACAGGCAGACAGGCAGACAGGCAGGCAGGCAGACAGGCAGACAGACAGACAG